TATATAGGGGATTATGGGGATTAGGGTGTCCCAAAATTGGGGATACTTCTTTGGGGGTCCCTATAATAAGGACTATAGTATATTGGGGTCTATATTGGGGTACCCGAATTTTGGGAAAGTACCATATAGGGTTTAGACTTCAGGTCTAGGATTATGGGTTTAGGGTTTGTGGGTGTGTGTGTGTGTGGGGGCATGTTGGGCTTCTACACGGGCTACATAGGGTTGTGTAGGGGAAAGAAAAGGTATATAGGGGCATTAAGAGGTTACGCAAGCGTGCAGTATACTAGATTCACAGGACTTAGTTACATGGGTGACCCTGCTGTACGCAACACGTTGTCAAGTATTACAGTACTCTATTTCTTGGGGCGTCCTTCTATCTTGTGGGGGACCACGGTTAGTATGTCCAAGGGAGTCTGCAGCAAGCAGGAGATAACAATGCATGTTAACGCTTGAAGCCTTAGTCCGGTAACCCAAACAAAGTCCCCAAAGCTTAACCCTGAACACTGCGCCCTTCTCTCCTAATCCCAGCGCAGCAATTGCAAGCACCATCTACAAGACTTACATAGACCATATCTAAAGGAACTCCCAAATGTTGGGAAACCCTAAACCCTTAACAGTAGTTTCCATTGTCTCTTCTAGTATACCTATATAGCTCCTATATACCCATATACCCTGGGGTGGCTAGGGTGGGGTCCTGGAAAATCCTCCCAACCCTAAACCCTAAACCCTAAACCCCAAACCCTGACCCCTAAACCCTAAACCTTGGAACCCTAAACCTTGGACCCTAAACCCTAAACCCTGACCCCTAAATCCTAAGCCCTGAACGGTAAACCGCATCCTGCCGAAGCCTAGTCCCAGGCGCAAGAGAGGAATCCCAGCCCCAGAGCCGGGCCCACCACCCCCCACAGTGGTCGCCCACCTGTGGGTTTAGGGTTGAGGTAGGGGCTTTGGGGATTATGAGTTAGGACTTGTAGGGGTTTAGGAGTTAGGGTCTTTAGGGGTGAAGGGTTTAGGATTGATTGAAGGTGTGTGGTTCTGATTCTGGGCTCGTGCAGAAGTCTAAAAAAATAGAGCAATGTTTCATTGGACTTTTGCTTGTTGTTTTTTCTCAGGAAAATGCTGAGAAAATTTCAGGGTTCCACATGACAGGACTAGGGTTTTGGCGGGAGCTTGCTTTTTAGTGTTCAGCTGCCTACTTGTCGTTCAGATGTTGTGTAAACACCTGTAGAAGCGGAAGTGCACATGCCTTCCCAGATCCTCCTGCAAGATCGATATCCCAAGCCCAGAACTCCCAGCAGTAACTACGCGCTTTAGGGTTTAGGGCTTCGGGTACAGGGTTTAAGGTTTAGGGTCCAGGGTCTAGGGTTTAGGACGCAGAATTCACGGAGAAAGCTTGAGTTGAAGCGACGTGTGTGAGGAAGTGTGAACGGAGTAGCTACCTGTGATCCAAGCAAGACCTGCCTTGACCCTCCACGTACTCTCTTTTAGGGCCTAAGTACCCACTATCAAAACTATTAGGGGCCGCGGATCCGAAGGCACTGGGAGGGTCTTGGTACAGAACTAAATCCCATCCCGAAAGCTAGACAGAAATGCCTCACCTGTGCAAAGCACGATGCCAGGGAGAGAGCTTGAACTGCGAGGCCAGAAGGTAGTTGGGATCCAGCCGCCTTAGGCTGGGTTGCTGATAAGCAACTTAAATCAAGTTACCATAGTGGGTAAGTATAGAAATCAATATGGTTTCCCCAATTTAGTAACCTAGCTAAACTAAGTTCCTTAACAGCGACCCAGTAGGTTTCTGGCCGTCTACCGTATGGCCCGTGTCTCAACATCTGCGTGGACCGGTGTGGGGCTTTTCAAAAATTAGGGGTCCCTGTTGGGGTGTCCTTGTAATTTCAGATTCTGGCATTCTGGAGTATATAAGTGGAGCCCCATGTCGCAAAATTCCCAAATCCCAAGTACATTACCATGTAAGTGTAGAACTTCTGCAGCCGCGAATAGCAACCGACCTGGAGGCCGATCCCACTCTAATTTTGTGTTTATCTTAAAAATTTGGAAACTTGAGGATCCAGAGGGAGCATACAAGGGTTATAAAGGTGGACTGGGAAAGGATTGTATGGAGAATGCTTTAGAAACTTCCATGTCATTCTTATTGAGCTGAGGCTTTGGAACTTGCAGGGCTTTGCCTGCAGGCTGCGTTTGGGGCATCATCCCAGGCGAATGTGCAGGGCTTCAGGGCCAAGGTTGAATTTTAAAAGGTGTAGATCACGCTTCTCAAGACAAATGGCCCTCAGTGTCCCTCATAAAGGAAATGGGGGGGATTACAGCGGTGCTTCTTCAAGATATCTAAAAGCATTGCGCCACATGACTAGTATCCACTGAATCACCTCTAAAATACTCCCCTACAGAATCCCTTTTAAGGAGGTCAGACCATTACCCTGATCCCTAAACCCCAAATAATCCCCTATGTAACCCTCTTTAGGGAGTTTTAGACCCCTCAACCCTAAACCCTGAACATCGAGTCGAGTGACCCATGGCCCGGGCCAGCGGCTCGATTCCAGACCTTATTGCTCTGCGGTTTCCGGTCAGAGGTTGAGGATTTAGGGTTTTGAGTTTAGGGGGTTTAGGGATGTAGGATTTAGGGTTTAGGGATGTAGGATTTAGAGTTTAGGGTGTGTGGTTTAAGGTTTGGAGTGGTTTGGAGTTTAGCAGGTTACTTACCGGGGCTTAGTAGCGAAATAGGGAATATATTATAAAGGGCTTATATAGAGATGCTGGAAAAGAATACGGAAACTACACTATAAGTACTGGTCCATGGGTTTAGATTGATGTACGGGATATAGAGGTATTAAGGTTGCATTAGGGAGTGCTGCGCGTGCTTACTCTGATCTACCTTTCAGCTGATAAGTGCGTCCGAGAAGTAGAGTCCCCCCCTAAGTAAATAGAATATGGGGTATATGGGGAACTATCTTATCATAATATACCCAAAGCCATATTCTATCTACTTAAGGGGGACTATAGGGTGCACCAGAGCACCAAGCCTGGATGCAGCTTGCCACAGGTTGCGGGACCCAAACTGCAATGACATCCACACAGAAGACAACAGCCTACAAATAGTACGCGAATTACTTACAGTGCCTTTCCCTAATGGTCCAGGAACCCAAATAATAGGGTTTTAGGGCCCCAATACCATTGATATTATTGTGTTTGGCCTTAGGGCTTGCAAAAGCCAAGAAGTATTCCTAGTGGATTGGAATCTGCAACTCTTTCAGTTCCACTCCCCAAAAACCCCACTTTGGGAACATAGGGGCAGGATATCAGACTAAGCGCGCCACTTGAGAGTTTTCACATACTGGCGCGAAGATGGACATTTGATGAACAAGTACGATGCAATTCTCCCTCATTATCGGGACTCCCCAGAAGGGGGGTCCTAACTTTTCCCGTTTCTTTCGCAACAAGGGGCCATGACGGAGGCGGGAAGACCGGCGCGGCGCAGCTCCCGTGCTACAATAACCGACATCCTCAGATTTGGGTGGAATGCTAAACTAATCCCCCCCCAAGCCCTATAACCTTCAATTAACACTAAACTCTGAACCCTAACATCCCGACCTGAATCCCCCACCACCCTTAAAGTTGAGGGATCCCATCGTGGTATATTATATTGCATTGAGAACACTTGCTTTTACAGGGTGGGGGGGTGTTTTGTATTAGAAGGAGGGGGTTACAAGACGACTGGACCTGGGCTCATCGAAGGCCAGTCTTAGCAAAGCCAAGCATCTCTGCAGTCCAGCGCTCACGCTTGTGGTTGCGTGTTCGCTCCTGCGTCTCTCCACCTCCGCGAACGATCTTGGTCGAGTGCGGTGCAGTGATCAACACAGGCCCCTCAAGGCAGCAGATGTAGTCGAGGCCACCGCGCTTCAGAATGGGTCCCGAGGGTGGAGGGGGCGAAGCTTTGGGAGGGGGAGCCTTTGAAGCAGGTTTGGGAGCCACCTTGGGCTTTGCCTTGGCTTCAGGAGCCTCAGGTTTGGCCTCCTCAGTGGAAGTCATGGCACCCACGATTTCATCGGCACCCTTGCTCATGGCACGCGCTCGCGCCGCCCGCTGGATAGCAACCACAGATGCCTCCAGCCGCTCGTTCGACACGACCTGCTGCTTTCCGGTGCACCCGTCGCTGCAGGTCCTGGTGAGCTGTGGAGGTCCGGGTTCCGTGGTTCCAGGCATCTCAGTCTCGCCGACGCTGCGGAATTGGGCCAAGCATTGCATCCGGATCATGGAAATCTTATCCATGATGGCATCTTCCTCTCCGTCTGTTTCTACGTCGGGACGGTCGAAGGAACAGGGAGCCCCGAAGACCCAAGCAACTAGCTCCTCATAAGGAATCCCTTTGCTCTCTTGCAGCTTCATCTTCGCAACCAGGTCCCCAAGGCCAAGGTCCTCCTCACCCAAGCTGCTGAGCAAGATCTCCAATTCTGAAACATCCAGCAAGCCATCCTGGTTGAGATCAAACTTCTGAAAGATCTTCACAATCTCGGCCTCGGTGGGCTTCTGGTCTGCCCCCACCTCCACCTGCGCCATCCCCAGCTCCGGCTGCTTGTCAGTCACCGAGTTGACACGAACTGTGCAGGTGGCGGCGGCCGGTGCCTCCTGGACGTCTCGAGCCTCCTCCGCAACCTCCTCCGCAAGTCGACATTCGCTTTCGGCCGTCCAGCGCACGAAGCTGCGGAAGCAGTTGCCCAGCGCCGGGGTGCCTTCGATGTGAGGTGACACAAGAAGCACCCGACCTTTGCCCAAAGGGCCACCCAGTAGCGCCGGAGAGCCTTTCATCAGTGGCGGGTAGGTGCCGCGCTTCCCTCGAAGCTGCGATTGGAAATCCACAAAGGACTCCACGCAGGAGTCAAGAATCTCAAAGAGTGGACCATTAGCATAGCGCACGCTGAAGGTTGATGGCAGGGCTGCGCCGGCAATTCGCTTGCCTAGGCTCGCAGCGCTACAAAAATGCATGCGCCTGATATCCATGCCACTTGGACCCCAACCATGCAACCCTAAGTCTTTCAGCCGTTTCAGCCCAAGTATTTCTTTGGCACTTATCACTAGGTGAGTTTCCTAAAGCAGTCCTGATGGAACCTTCACAAGGAACCCATCATCTGTTATGTACTGAACACCAAGCCCCAAACGTTCTAATTACAAAACAGGGGTACTCTGATTCTATGCCCTGTTTTGCTTCGAAGGTACCAGCATCCGTAGCAGTGAGCTCACATGCCTCTGTCTTTCCGCGGTCCCAGTGATCGATGCCCTTGCAGGAAATGCCTAACCGGACTCAGGGCATCCTACCCACCTCTCTACTGTAATTCTCCCCTATACAGCTCATGTAAACCCAACTAGTCCTCTGGCAGCATCCAAAGATGCAGGGAACCCAGCACCCTCTCTAGACTAGGACTGGCCAGGTCTTCGTATGTGGTCGCTTTAAATAGTGCTGCTGGCTCGTTCTTGTCCCAGGTGATTGCTACCTGTAAGAAGCATCCAGTACAAAGACACGCATGCTTGATTGCTTTGCCTTTTGGATCCAGTCCAACCCTAGAAACCCCAAACCCCAAATCCTGAACTCCATATCCTAAAGCCTCAAGTCATACCCCCCAGACATTTACAAGACCCAAAGCCCGAACCTCCACCCCCCTAAAACCTCTAAACCCTCAACCCCAAAGCCTGAACCCTAACCCAAACCCCCCCCAGCTGAAGGTTGCAAGGAGCTTGGACCCAGGGCCGCTTCAGATCACTAACCCGAGAGGCTTGAATCCAATTCCGGCTCTCCCCGTAGCCGAAGGTAGGTACCACGGTGGACTAGGGTTTAGGGCTTAGGCGCTAGAGTTCATATGCGTGTAGCGCTTGGGCCAACTGGCTTTGAGGACTCAAAGTGATTGGCAGCGAGCCACCCGAAGCTCAAAACTGGAACCCCAAAATTTGCTTCTTGGGCAAGAACGCGTAACTTGTATGATGATACCTTGCTGCCCAAATGCCAAAATACAAGTGCTGCACATGGAAAGAAGTAGGTAGGAGTTACATCTCGACCCACGAACATGCTTGCCACACACGCTTCTACATGAATGGCTGGTCCGTGCTCAAGCCCTGCATATCTTGCAGGGAGGGTGGAGCTTCGATATGACGACTCTTGCCACAGGGCCATGATCTTGGCACCTCCCCTCAAAAAGTTAGGGTCTTGTTGGGGGGAACTTCTACAAGGTCATGACCCCCTAGTATAGTAGTTTGCGTGTTCTTTACTTACCATTATCCCTATATAACCCCCATATAACCCCAAAACCCCCGAATAAGCAGAACACCCCAAAACGTTCCCGAATGACACTTTTTCCACATCCAGGCATCCAGGACGTTCACGGGGATCAGGTCGTATCCCCACGAAGTGCCTGGGCGGTTTAGGGCTATATTGGGGTTATATTGGGACTATATTGGGATAATGGAAAATAAAGGAAGCTACTATTTACTATTTGTAGGTTAGGGATCTTTCTGACCAAAAGGCCCATGCTTTTCCATACCGCAAGACCTTTAAGTAAAGCTTTTCGTGCAGTAAGGCATCTGCGGCTCCACACCAGGACACGTTTGAGGACAAATGCTCGTGCAGCAGGGCTATCTGCAGCTATCTCAAGATGTTTATGCACCCTATGTCACATATGTCAAGGATCCTTCAGCCCTGAGTCCTAAAACAGCTTAACCCAAAAGCAAACACTCCCGATCTTGAAAAGTTTAGGGTTTTAGGGTTTTCGGTTTGAGGTTTAGGGTTTGGGGTTTTAGGGTTTTAGGTTTTTAGGGTTTATAGGTTTTACTTGATGTGGGTTCACCATACCTGATTGCTGCTAGGAAGTGCAGGGAACCTAGTGATCCCGTTAAGCTCCCACTATAGCATCTATGGCGTTCAATTACAAGTGATTGTAAGGTATTGTAGGGTATATCTAGGGGCGGATATGGCTGACGATGCGGCTCACTCTCATATGGCTCAGGAATTATACCGGAAGCTTGCTGCTGATATCTATGGACTTTTCAGTCTTTGTAACTCTGTTCCGCGCCACTTCTTGTTCAAGCTTGTCTGAATGGGATTCTAGTTTGATTTTCCAAGGCTTCATGCATGAAGAGCTGAGGAGCTCTCTTTGAGCTCGGAAACACTAACAAAATGCAATCCCTAGTAGGACCTGGATTTCGTGACCTGGATTTCGTGAGAGCGGAAGTTTCCTGTTCAGAAATTTGCAAAGATCCGTGCATAAAGGCTGGTTGGCTGGGTGTCGAGGTGGACGCGCTAGCGATTGAAATGGTAGCTTCCCTAAATATGAGGACCCAGGTATAGACCCCAAAATACTATAGTCCTTAGTATTGCGACCCTCAAGGAGGTACCCCTAATTTTGGGAAACTCCCAAATTGGTCCAGAGCAGGCCAAGTACCGAGGTATGCCCCGGCGCAAATCCCGACATAGCCACCACCGGCCTGTAAGTTTGGATCCCCCTTCCTCATATTGGGGTAAACCCTAGGGACCCAATGTTACAGTAAAAGTGGTCTATGAAATAGGGGTCTCAACTGTGTTGGGCGTTTGGTGTTCGCTCAGGTGTTGGGGCTTCGGGTCTTGGGTTTTCGGCATTCGGAGATTCAGGGTTCATGGCGGATCAGAGATTAGGACTTATGACTTACATTGTTTTGTGGGATAGGGTGTTGGAAGCTGACAGCTCTGCAATAAGCCGCTTAGCACGAGGAGAAGTACGCGACAAACTTATACCTGTAGGGTACACGATTAGGGTGACCCCTGGGAGCATAGAGCCCTCTGAGCAGGGGACCCGTCAAGGAAACCATAGGGCTTAGGGTTGTAGGGTTTAGAATTTGGGGTTTTAAAAGGTTTTAGGGGCCCAAATCCCTAAACCCTTCAACCATAAACCCCTAAGCCCTTAAACCTTTAACTAAACCAGAACCAAAACCCTAATTCTACTCCTAACACACATGTCACCGTCCAGCATCTCATCCCTCTAACGTCACCCGCAAAGTCCATTCCTATGAACCTTTAGGAATCAGGCATTTAGGGTTTAGGGTTTAGGGGGAGTCAGGCGCTTAGGGTTTAGAGTCTAGGGTTTAGGTTAAGCCCCTTCCTGTGAGGATTCAGGAGTCTAGGAATTCAATTGATTTAAAGCCTTGCAGCTTGTTGTGGGGTTGACTTTGAGGGATATGATATGAGGCTATGTAGGAGGAATAATATAGGTTAAAGATACGGTCTATCCATATATGTGGGCATGGGATTAGGTATCCCTACTAGGCTAGGGACCCTCCCAAAAGGTCTCAAGTTCATGCCAAAACACGAACCGGGCGCAGCAGCCCTGAGCTACCAGAACTCTTTGTTCCACCAGCTCAATGCAACCTCCACACCAGTGAAGTACCTGGACCCTGCAAATATGTAACGTAATGGCCTTTATGGCTGTCATTACGGGCTTACGGCGATCAAGTTACACAAAGTTGGGGTTTAGGTAGTATGGAGGGCACAACTGTACCTTATTTCAAGTATGTTCCAACTGCTACTGAGTTAGGGCAGCGTCCAAGGAAACGCCCGACCTAAAGGGGTCATGTACATACATCGTACATGCTTGCGCCTAAAGAATAGTCCTCATAAGGGAACTCCTTTGGTGCCTGAGTATATACTGCCCTACACCCTAGACTCTTAGTCCCTAATCCCTATAGCCCCTATATGCCTCCATGGACCCTTTGGGCAACCAGCCCACCTTGACAAACTCGCGAATCTTCTGTCCCCCAAGTTCTCCTAATGCGGCCTGGGTATTCATGCAGCTATGAGGTGTAGGGCTTATAAGGGTTTAGGGTTTGGGGCTAGGGGTTCAGGGTGTAGGGCAGCTGTACAGGTTTTAGGATACATTGGGCTTGAATTTGTCAAAAAAGAGGCTCTTAGGAACCCAGAGATATGTGGAGATCGCAGAAAGATTGAGGCCATCCCATGAGGTCATGAAGAATTCAGTAGAAATGTGGAAAAGCTTCTACTGCAGGGGGAGTACCCCAAACAAACTTGAAGGTATGTTGGGGGCATGGTTTGGGGTACGTATCGAGTATGTACTACGGATACCAGGGCATGTGATGTATCAGGGTTAGGTTTGGGGCATATTTCGCCATGGCAGAACATGCCTCACTACTTACGATGTTGACGTGGCATTTTTGGACTGACCTCTGCGCCAAAAATATGATGCTTGTGTGTGGATCCATAAAAAGCTTCTTCTATGGGTCCTATATAGAAAACTTGGTTTCAAGGCTAACCCATGTGATCCAACGGCAATGAGGAGATACAGTCTTCAGAGACTTCCCTTGCAGTGGAACCAAGGCTCGTCAAACAGGGCTTGGGCTTTCAACGCCAGCTTGCTATTGCTACTGTCGCCTGTGGAACTTTGGCTTATGTCGGGGGCAAGGCGTTAACAACGTGTGTCCGCGTCGCGTGAAATTAGTGGGGTCTTCCTGAGCGTGAAACTCGTGGGGTCGTCACCATCCAGGCAGAGGTTTCAGGGTTTAGTGCTCAGGGCACTTGAACATGCCATGCAGAAGCTACTCTAATCTGTGCAAAATCAGTGTGTGGCACCCGGCTTAACGTTTGGTTTCTGTGGCGGAGCATCAGTCAAAGGCGCGCCATATCCACCAAGCACACACCTTTCACCAAGTGTGGATCCAACTCTGTCATGAGAACGTGTAGCAACAAGAGTTCACAGTCTGTGCCAGCTTCAAACCCTACACCAAGACTGAGAAATCCAGAAACTTCCCCTAAACAAAACACATACAAGCTCTGGAAAACTCGGTGGTCACTTTTCCCGTTCACCCTCTTTGAGCGGCCGAGCTTCCGCAAAGTTAGGCGCATATCCACCAGGAACGATGAAGATGTCGTAGGAGCCGTGACCAGAGCCCCCTGCACAGCTACGGTGGTATCATGGGGTGCCCCCCCACGCCTTTCCCCGTATCCTTGAGAATTAAAGCCATTAAAGGATTACAACGGAACCTGGGGCGGTAGTACAGCGGGTGTAGGGGACCCATGGCGCGTAGTGGGGATAAAGGAATGGATCTGCACTATAGCCCCTGTTTCCATCATCCCCGATAATACTCCTCACAGCCCATGACCCCAACAGATCAACTTAAACCAATGTGGTCCAAATCTTACCCCAAACCCCAACCCTAAACCCTTCCCAAACCTGAAACCGTACATCCTATACACCCAACTCCTCAGGCCCAGAAGATGCTCTTTGCAAACCCCAGGGCCTTGCGCACCTCCTCTGGCG